AAAGGCTCAGTGAGATACGCCAAAATGCATACCTTAATTTAGCATTGTCTTGCGCTCGGGCGCCTTTCACGCCATCGACTTCTGCTTTACCCGACGTTCATAAATTTGACAGTACAAGGGCTAATCAAATATGTGTCCAAAACAAAGCCGTGGGATCACGCCACAACAATCGTAGTGAATTCAGGTTATGTGATAATGCCTGATGTTTGTGCTGACGGATACCATGCCTCCCCCTTAACTGTCCCCTCCTTGCATTCGCTTTTATAAAAGGGACTCTCACCAGACCCCCTCCCCATTTTTGCTCTGTTTCCATCAGCGCCCTCGCTTGACAACAACGTGAATGTTAGTAAATATTTCATTTGTCTTGAATTGTGTGGATAGAGTTAGTCTATATAGTTGGTCTATATAATTGGACTATATAATTGTGCTATGTTGTTGGGCTATATAATTGGGTTGTATAATTGGGCTAAATTGTGGGGCTATATATATAGATGGGCTCAACTTTAAAGGGGTGCACGATATCTACTTTCTTTTAATAACACTTGAACCATATCTTAAAGCAAGCGTCATGATCTGCTGGTATTAAACTCAAACTCGCCACGGTCTGCTTGCTATCCGTCCCTAATTTACCCACACGTTGAAATCCTCTATTCGCTGTCCTAAGAATATGTTCCTTGAAACAGGAAAATAACCCAAATCCTTTGGGACCGAGGTTAAGGTTGCGCTATGTTCAAGGACTCGCGGTTTTTCCAGGTGCCGAAAGTGTTAAAATCATCGATCTGTGCTTAGGTGAGTTAGCATATAGGACAAGCCCCGGGGGGGGGGGGGCTTGCGCGCTAATTTAAGATTCGTTATTACCATGTGTTGTCGTTTTTTCTTCATATTTTTATAAATTTTTCAATGTTCCATCCTAAAAGTATTTAAACTCAGGACAACCACCCTAGGTATCCGCTTGATGTTTAAAGGTAAGAATTTTAGGCTGGTAGATTATGTTTCTTGATAGACTATCCAAGACTTCATATTGACAGATTTTTAAGGGACAATTTTAATGTTACTCTTACTTTTCACAAACCGATTGATCAAAGATAATTGATATAATTAATCATTTTTAATGTAAAATGTTCAGCTTTCTGTGTATAGAAAAGAGATTCAGTAATAAACTGTCGCTGTTACAAAATCCTAATCAACTGTTTCTAAAACCAACCCGTGTCAACACATTCAACATATTTGACCCCAAGAACGTAATAAAACAGTGCAACTAACCAATAATAACAGCATTTATTTCTTAATAGTATTCATGGCTTTGAAAAGGTTCGACCTGATAACCTCACTCACAATTCACCATCCCAATCCTTCACAGGCAGTGGTCATTTGGGCACGTGTCCTTCGGTCTGTGGCCGTGGTCAAGAACTTACACACTCTCCGCAGTCGTTTGTTGTTGGTATAGCAGTTTGTTTGTTTGCTTGTTTGTTTGTTTTTAAAATTGGGGGGGGGGGTATTTCATAAGAAAATGCTTTTGTACTATTTTAGATGACATTTTAAAAAAAATAATAATTTAAAGATCAAACTTGAGTATTGCTATATTATCTACTTTCAAATCTGATTTACAGTCCATATCTGTATTGCGCCTTGCAATAAAAGAGTAAAGATATAAGGAGACCCAAATCAAGTTCAAGACAAAGCCTATTACATACAAGTCAACTTATGGAAAGCCGTAACCATCATCAGACTTCTGGAATGTGTGGTTTTATCTAGCACTGAAAATATTATTATTATTTTTTTTTTTTAATTCCTTTTTTTTTGGTTTAATATTTTAAAATCATAAAAATGAAATGAACCTAAATATTAAAAAAACCAAGACTTCAAAACAATAGCGATAGATATGTTACCGGCAATGTGTGAAATGCAGGCATTGTATAGAATGCCTAGGCATTCTATAGAATGTCTGGCGGTTTTAGGCAAAGTATGAAATATTTTATTTTCGTGATTAAGTTACATACTTTGCCTAGGCATTGTATACATTTCCTAGGTATTATATATAATGACAAATATACTTCAGGCAAGTTTCAAAAGAGCGTAAAGAATTTTTTTTTATTGGAAAAACACATTTGAATACGAAAGATAACAATAAAACTAGAAAGCAAAGGTGTCATTGAGCTACTTGTTGCAGCAAGTAAGGCTGGAGTGGCATTTTGAATTGCACTTCATTTTCTTTTTCAAACAAAGACACTTCATGTTTTGGCACCTGGTCTTGCACATTCACCTCACGTATCATTGACCGCTTCCTGTTGACTGAGAGATGGCAGCAGATCGGAGAGGTATTTCATGGGCCGGGACGTCTTCAACTCTCAATAAATCTTTTGGACATACAGTGAACTGTGATTTCGAATACAGTTCTTTCAAGATTCCTTGTGCAGTTCCCAGTCGGTAAAAGCCGTCTTCTGTCTCTGTCATAACAACTGCCAACAGATTGCGCGAGTCACTCCGTCCCTTGTCAACGTCAGGAATAGGAACTCGCAAAGTGGCTCCTAAATGTGCAGGAGGGAATTTTTTGTCAGAGTTTATTTTCATTTTTTTGCCTGGATTTCAAGGTTCGATTTAGATTCTTTTCTATCCCCTACACCTCTCTTTATCTTGAAACACAAGCTGCACAAAATACCAACACCATAACCTTCTATTTCCTCGTCTCCATCGTCTTTAGCAACATGTCCACAGATCACATGAACATTACGGTGACAGTTTCGGCATGTATGGGCCCCGCTGCTTTCTTTTAAGCAGACACAACAAACACCCGAAGTGAAAGGCTCTTCAGTAACCATTACGTCACAATCAGTTTGGTTTCCTCAATTACTGGTTGCATTCTATTCAGTATTCTGTATAGCAGGCTCTGTATCTTGTCTTCAGTATTCTGTATAGCAGGCTCTGTATCTTGTCTTCAGTATTCTGTAAAGCAGGCTCTGTATCTTGCATCTGACGATTTGCTTCTTCCTGCTGTGTTGTTTTTACGCTTTCTATTATTTTTTCGAGTTCTTCCTCAGTCTGTGTGTCTTGAAAAACGTCAGGGGTATGGAAGACGTTGCAAGGCCCACTTTAGCTTTGCAGCCAAACAGAGCTTAATAAGGCGTTCTTTTGATCTCAGAATGAAAGGCCCTGTTCTTCATAAGGCATTTTCTTGATCCCAGAATGAAAGGCCCTGTTCTTCATAAGTTGGATGAATCGTAATCCCTCAGCCCAGAGGTCAGTTTGTTCATCTTGCATCCAAGCACATAGCATGTTTTCGATGTCTTGATTAGCTTTTTCGACACTGCCCTGGCTTTGTTAGTGGGACGGTTTACCATGGACGATCTTCAACTTGGGCCAGTAATCCTTTAGGCTGTTCACCACATTTTTGTTAAATTCCCAGCCATTATCGGACTTTAGAATTGAAAGAGTTCCAAGCAAAGTAAATATTTCCATTAGTGTGTAGGTTACCTCTTCCGCCCTCTTGGATGTTAAAGCCCTCAGAACCACAAACTTTGTGAGATGATCTTGGTACACCATTATAAATTTATATTCCCGGTCAGGATGGGATTGAAAATCGACAAGATCGACCTGACCACGGGAGTTGAATTCAGAAAAAATCATTGGCTTCACCACAACACCCTTTGTGACACCTTTTTGTTTCTTCTGGCACGGCTCACAAAGGTGGAGGTAAAGTTCGATATCATTACGTGTAATGTTCTTATACTTGTGTGAAAGTTCTTTCAACATTCTGCCCCTTTCTCCATGTCCCACGGTCAAATGAGCCTCGTGAAGTACGTCAAATAATGCTGAATCCGTGACAGAGAACTGAATAGCACTGTCGCCTTCTTTAACAGGATAGATCAACTTACTTTTGTTCTCTACCGCCATTACATCATAGCGTTTCAGGAGCCAATAGTCTCGTGGTTTCTTCTAATTTGTCATCCGAGCCATTTTGACATCATCCACCAATTTTTGGTAACTAGTTTCCGTTAGAGACACGCAGTTTTTAGCAGTGTTGGCTCGTCATTGAGAAAGTTCATCGTATCAGCGCCGTTGCATGTAAACATACCGTGATTCCTGATCTGAAGCTACAATCTGATCTTCCAACATCTCGGCAGCCATCTTGAAACAATAGGGGTAGCGTCTTTGGCGGGAGTACGAAGAACGTGTGTCGCGATCGCCACGCCACCACCAAGCAAAGAAATCAAACATGAATGGTGGGGTATTCTATACATTGCCAGGTCGCTCTTAGGTATTATATAGAATGCCTAGAAAATGTGTGAAATATAAACCATTTCATACTTTGCCTACAATTTTCAGCCATTCTATAGAATACCTAGGCATTCTATAAAATGCCGGATTTCACACATTGCCGGTAACAGATACATTTGTAACATGTCGAATTACATCACATAAAATATACACTAGCAGATGTTCATTACATCATTCCCCAAATGAGGCGCATTTTTTTAAAGCATGGTATTGTATCCCAAATTTCTGATCCAAAAATTACATTTTTTTAACAGACTAGTGACATAATGAGTCAAGATTATATCACAGGATAATTAAGTACTGAGATAATGATTCAGGGGTGCTTTAAATAATCAGTCTACTTTGATAATAAGGTATACAATCATGAAACATTTTAATTGATGGCTGTTTTTGCATAATATTATGTCAGAGTCTAACAATACGACCAGGACAAAAATACTGATATTATGTCAGAGTTTAGCACTGTGACAAGGCCAAATATACTGATATTATGTCAGAGTTTAGCACTGTGACAAGGCCAAATATACTGATATTATGTCAGAGTTTAGCACTGTGACAAGGCCAAATTTATGCAAAGTTGTAACTTTACAATCATTACGTAGTCCTTACGCAATACTATAAAATAAGCTCCAACATTAAACTCAAAAGAGTTTAATTCGGGCTCAGAGTTCTCATTGTATGAACAGGTTAAGAAAATTTAAGATTGTTGGCTTTGAGAAGTGTCCCTCATTTTGAGCTGTGTGCGAATGGTGACAAGGGTGTCAATTCAGCTCAAATTGTCCAAGGGAAGTAATCGTTACTTCGTCGTTGCCTAAGGAAGCGTCGGTCAAGGACCTAGGATTGAGGAATGAACGGAATGTTTCAATCCTCTAAGAAGAAGAAATGTCCACTCTTCTTCTGTTCTACATCCTGTAAGAAATATAGCACAAAAACTTCATGTAACCATGGAATATCTGCTGGGGTGCGTATAATACAAAGCTATCACATAGTATGTTAGGCGTAATTAAGATTAGGCAATTTAACAAAATATTTGTTACAAGCATTATTTTTTATAATTAAATCTGAAGCATTATTTTATGTAACTATGTGAATACGTTGACCTATTTAAGACGATATAATGGCCGCTAAATATTCAAAAGATCATAATTAATGAGGATGCCAATGTGACAAGATTGAGAGTTAAATAATCTGATACAGAACTGCATAATTAACAAAACAATGGTAGGTATCAGGTGCTGATTCTCCCATAAAAGCGTGGATTTTATTATCAAATTGTTGTCAGGTGACGTCACAATTCGTCTAATTTTTTTTTCTTTTGTATTTTTGCTTCGACTGTGCTTGGGAGTTAATTTAACTGTAAGAGAAGCTGTAACTGTAAGAGAATCTGTAACTGTAAGAGAATCGGTAACTGTAAGAGAATCGGTAACTGTAAGAGAATCTATAACTGTAAGAGGATATATAAGTGTAAGAGAATCTGGTACTGTAAGAGAATCTATCACTTTAAGAGAATATGTAACTGTAAGAGAATCTTTAACTGTAAGAGAATCTGTAACTGTAAGAGAATATGTAACTGTAAGAGAATCTATAAGTGTAGGACAATCTATAAGTGTAAGAAAATCTGGTACTGTAAGAGAATCTATAACTGTAAGAGAATCTGTAACTTTAAGAGATTCTATAACTGTAAGAGAATCTTTAACTGTAAGAGAATCTGTAACTGTAAGAGAATCTGTAACTGTAAGAGAATCTATAAGTGTAGGACAATCTATAAGTGTAAGAAAATCTGGTACTGTAAGAGAATCTATAACTGTAAGAGAATCTGTAACTTTAAGAGATTCTATAACTGTAAGAGAATCTGTAAATGTAAGAGAATCTATAACTTTAGGAGAATATGTAATAGACACCAAGTTGGGACAAGCATAAATAAAAGAAGCAAGGCCCTTCGCCAGAGTCAGTCATGCATGAGAAATGTTTGCGTACCTGCACGGAGTTGAGTTTGTTGATGCGTGGCCGGAAGTTGTTGCGGTCACGTCGAAGCGTGATGTCCAGAAACTGTAAAAACTTGTTCATGCCGGTCAGTAGAGACTGTGGCCTGGAAGAGACACGGAAACTCATTTCATACCTTAGACATTTACATGTGGCACGGCTTACGAAGGTGCCCGCTGCATTTATTTTACCAGCTGAAAGTATATACCAAAAAACTGAGAGTGTTTCCATTTGTTTTTTCATATTAGGCTCAGTTCACACGATCAAATTGTCATCAAATTACTTTTGGTACGCAACAATTCGTTTCACTAAATAGTGCACTCAAAATGAAAAGTGGCGCTAATTCGATCAAAATTTGACGCAAATTTGACGCTAACTTGATGAAATTTTAATGCAAATTTGACGCTAACTTGATGAAATTTTAATGCAAATTTGACGCTAACTTGATGAAATTTTAATGCAAATTTGACGCTAACTTGATGAAATTTTAATGCAAATTTGACGCTAACTTGATGAAATTTTAATGCAAATTTGACGCTAACTTGATGAAATTTTAATGCAAATTTGACGCTAACTTGATGAAATTTTAATGCAAATTTGACGCTAACTTGATGAAATTTTAATGCAAATTTGACGCTAACTTGATGAAATTTTAATGCAAATTTGACGCTAACTTGATGAAATTTTAATGCAAATTTGACGCTAACTTGATGAAATTTTAATGCAAATTTGACGCTAACTTGATGAAATTTTAATGCAAATTTGACGCAAATTTAAACGTGTTTGCTGAGCATAAAGCAAAGCTTTGCACCTGACAAAGTCAAGTCCTAATTTTATTTCTGAAAATATCCTTTTTAGTAAGATGCAAAGTCTAAAGACATATCTAGGACCCGAGACCAAGACAAACAGGTGAAACTGTTGGTTTTATTTGACAATGAGGTACACAAGGTAATGTCACGTGCTTACGTCTTGGCCCGAGCCCTGAGCGAGGGCGTGCCTTCAAACACAATGACGCGGTCAGCGAGGTAGGTGGCCATGATGAAGTCGTGCTCCACAACAAAAGCGGTCTTCTTGGCGTGGAGGATAAATCTGGTGACAGTTAACAGTGGCATATATTAGTGGGTGCAGAGGGGGTCGGTTCGCCCGGTTGGGACTTTTTGGTTGATAGGGAGGGGTGGCAATATCTGCCAACTGAAGATGGTGGGGTTTCTGAAAGGGGGCGTCACGAATTTTAACCCCCCACCCCATGGGCATTACTAGAACTGGCTGCGCCACTGACAGTAAATCAGTTGAGATGAGTTTATTTGTAACACTGAAATAAGTTCCCTGTGCCTACAAGGTGTCATCACATCTGATTAACTTCATCTTTGAGGATGTAGCATACAGATGGACCAACACAAAGATAGACAAGTAGACACATAGACAAGCAGATAAATAGACCAAGATACAAATAGAGCAACATACAATAGAAAAACATACACATAGCTCAACATACAAATAGATCAACATGCAAATAGACCAACATACAAATAGACCAGCATACAAATAGACCAACATACTTATAGACAGCTATTGACGTGTTTGCCTATGTCTAAGCCGTGCCAATGTGTCATCGTGAGAGTGACGTCACCGTGGACACACGTACTCACCTTTTGATGACCTTTGCTGCGTGCAAGCGCTGCTCACAGTCCAGGTAGGCTGAGGGCTCATCAATCAGGTAAATATCAGCCGGGCGGCCGAGACACAAGGTCAAGGCCACTCGCTGCAACTCTCCTCCCGATAAGTTCATGACCTTTTTTTAATTAAAAAAAACTTATTATAATAAAAAAAAATTTTCACAGTTAACAATATTTCTCCAAGAAGCTAACAATATTTCTCCAAGAAGTTAACAATATTTCTCCAAGAAGTTAACAATATTTCTCCAAGAAGTTAACAATATTTCTCCAAGAAGTTAACAATATTTCTCCAAGAAGTTAACAATATTTCTCCAAGAAGTTAACAACATTTCTCCAAGAAGTTACCCATATTTCTCCAAGAAGTTAACAATATTTCTCCAAGAAGTTAACAATATTTCTCCAAGAAGTTAACAATATTTCTCCAAGAAGTTACCCATATTTCTCCAAGAAGTTAACAATATTTCTCCAAGAAGTTAACAATATTTCTCCAAGAAGTTAACAATATTTCTCCAAGAAGTTAACAATATTTCTCCAAGAAGTTACCCATATTTCTCCAAGAAGTTAACAATATTTCTCCAAGAAGTTAACAATATTTCTCCAAGAAGTTAACAATATTTCTCCAAGAAGTTAACAATATAAAAATTATTGCTACATAATAAGCATTTCAATTTTTTAAACTTGAATACCATATAATCACCGCTTTTATTGCTAGTTCCTAAATAAATAATCCATTTCTGTGTATACTGCTTATGTTGTTGTGTTTTTAAAAAATGAGGTTATCAGTGGCAAGTTAATGCATATCAATCTGTTTTATCTAGACAGGAAAAGCTCCTGAGTTTGTCAATATGTACTCTTGCTATGAGAGAACCGACAAGCCTGCATCTAATAACCGTACATCTATAACACTATACCAACAGTTAAGCAAAAAGACAGACCAACAACCATACAGACGACACACAGGTAGACAAACATGAGATAGATCAACATACAGATAGACCAACAGACAGACCAACATACAAATAGACAAACATTCAGATAGATTAACATACAGGTAGACCATTAGAAGATGGACCAATATACAAATAGACCAACCTACCGGTAGACCAGCAGATCATCAGAACAACATACTGACCACACAATAGATAACCAACAACAGATATACAAACTTGCGCATAAATCAACACCCAGAAAGACGAACAAAGAGATAGACCAACATATAGATTAGGACATAATACTTTTTGGTCAAAGAGCGCCTCCATCTGTAGCGGTCTCATGACATCTGTAACAAACTGAGGATGGACGTAAGCATCTCGTATTCTCTCGTGCAGCAGTTGTCTCACTGTTCCCTGGTGCTTCGGGCTGATCTTTTGAGGCTTGTAGCTCACAGTTAATAGAGGAACTTGGCCTGCGTACAGTGACATGGAGTAGAGATACAAATGTAGACCACAGTTAACAGAGGAACTTGGCCTGTGTACAATGACATGGAGTAGAGCTAAGAATGTAGACCACAGTTAACAGAGGAACTTGGCCTGCGTACAGGGACATGGAGTAGAGATAATTGTCTAGACCAAAGAGACTGAAGGAATGAAAACTAATGGTGGAGAGCGGGGGTCAAAGGAGAGAAAACGAGAAAGAAAATGAAATAGAGAAAAGGAGAGAGAAAGAGTGAGAAATATAGAGAGAGCGAGAGAAACAAAGATAAATGTGGAGATAAAAAGAGAAAGAGAAAGAAAGAGAGAGGTAAAGTTAGAGAAATAGAGAAAATGATATCGCAAAAGTGATAGAAATAGAGAGAAAGAAAGAGAGAAATAAAAAAGAAAATGGAGATTGAAAGTTAAAGAAAGAGGGTGAAATAGAGAGAATATGGAGAGAACGAGAGAAAAATGTGGAGATGGAGGGAAAGGGAGTGAAATCTTTTTGTTCGAAATCCAAAAATGAGGTCCATGCTTTTAAAATTAAAGTTTAATAAATGTAATACTCGAATTTTTAACATAGATATAAATTGAACAATTCTAAAGGAGTGTATGACATGACTTTCAAAATGTCATGCTCTTGTTACATTCAACTTATTATAGCAATCTCTTCAAAACGCATTAGATTAAGCATCTCATGATCATAGCATTAACTGACCCCCGTCATCTGGTTGAAGTCTTCCCGCCAACAGTTTAATGAAGGTTGTCTTTCCGGCTCCATTCTCACCGAGCATGACGATAATTTCCGCGTCAGTGAACTGCCCGGCATCAATGTTAAGGTTGAAATCACCTGCCATCAAAACAATCAGAATATGTTTTACAAACATTTTGAATACTTTACTAAACTGTGTACAATGCTCTCATTGTGTCTATGCAAAGATTTATATGTTTAAAAAAATTCTAAATTTATTTTATTAATACTACAAAATGTTACGCTGTAAAAAATGTAAGTCATTTTCTTGGACATAAAGCTTTTAATGTGTGTGATTCCATGATTATCAACCACATATGCAAATATATTCACATTGTTCATAAACTTAAATTATGTAATGAAATATTATAATATCTTTGCACAATCTCATGATCTAACTTGAATAACGCCAGAACCACTGTCTTTGATCAGTGCTGACACAACAGCACCACTGCATCTACATTCTACGTATCAAGACGATGAATTACTACAGGCTACCTTACTCCCTCATTGTTTGGAATCTAAATAATATAGGCCATCTGAAACCAACGTGTATGTTTTCTCTTCTCTCAGCTAAACACAGCGTGTGTCTGTCGTAGAGTTTGTTCGTTTTTTTTTCTGTGTGCTCTCTACTGACCTAACGTCTTCGCCATCTTGGAATACTCGTAACTACAGAAACGCTCCTTGACGTCATCCTCTGCCTTCTCTGCTACCTTGAAGGTCAGAGCCGTTTCTCGAAACCTGAGGTTCTCAGTTGGTATGAAGCCGTCCAGGAATATGTTGATGCCTGTCGTGGTCAGTCACGCAGAAAGAAACGAGATTTACCGTCATTAACATTAATCAACTCAATTGATGCACTTTTCTTTACAAGACTTTTGCCATGCCTTGAACAGTGTACATTTACTGATTGATGGTAGTTTTTAATTTTTTAACAGATAGGAACTACTTTGAACGAATAACTTTAGCTCAAAAGATCCTTCAAATCAGGCTGCATAACTCAAAATGTATGGTGGGGGGGGGGGGGCCTTAATTCTTTATAAAAAGAGTGTACGGCCCGAAAGAAAATAGGACAGGGTGGAAAAGCTTTTAAGAAAATAATCATTTAACAAATATTTCTTTACGTCCTGGGCCGCAAAGTGCGTGCTGGGGGGCCGCATGCGGCCGGCGAGGCGTGTGTTGTTCAGGCCTCTTTAAATATAATGAAAGAGAATAGGAGACGCATTGATAACTTTAGTACGACGATATTCTATTCTGTTGGCTACAATAAGAAATTCAGACATACCAACTTTTATTTCGTTAAGAAATATATGTAGTTTTAATTTAAATCAGTAGAGCCAGGCTCCAGAAGTTGACAACTTTCTTGTGTGTCACCCAAATTTTATTCATCTGTGACCATCCTCAGAGGTCAGACTTACCGTTGCGCACTCCTGACGGCATAGTGACCACACCATAAGCACCAGGAACACCATACAAACAACAAATGAAGTCAGAAAGGTAATCAAGCACTGACAAATCATGCTCCACAACAATAATGTATTTGTCTGGGTTAATCAAGCTTCGAATGGCCTGAGCAGCTTTTAGACGCTGCTTAACATCTAGGTAACTGGAAGGCTCATCAAACATGGATCTGAAAATGACAACGTTGAATCAATCTACAACGGGAAAACACATTACACGTTTTCAAGACAATGCCTCGCTATACAGCCACTAATACTAGATAGCCAATGGCGAGTACCTGTGATCACCAAACAGCCCTACAACCCTACAACCCTACAACCCTACAACCCTACAACCCTACAACCCTACAACCCTACAGCCCTACAACCCTACAACCCTACAACCCTACAGCCCTACAGCCCTACAACCCTACAACCCTACAACCCTACAACCCTACAACCCTACAACCCTACAACCCTACAACCCTACAACCCTACAACCCTACAGCCCTACAACCCTACAACCCTACAACCCTACAGCCCTACAACCCTACAGCCCTACAAACCTACAACCCTACAACCCTACAACCCTACAACCCTACAGCCCTACAACCCTACAACCCTACAGCCCTACAACCCTACAACCCTACAGCCCTATGATGTAAAGTTGGTCTATTTTGTTTTTTCTAGACATAAATGTAAAATAAATTTGATTTATTTCTTTATTATTTTGTTTGTTTTGTTTGTGTTTAATTTATAAACCATTGACTTTATTGTATTTTTTTTTCATTCAAATTTCTAAGTTAAACTACAAATATTACAATTTAGCGTAAATTATATTTGACACACTTTCTAAAAAAAACTATTTTATGATTAACATTACAATGTCACCTAAATTATGTAAGGCACACTTTATGACACATAATTTATGATTAATGAAATAGTGTACATGAAATGTTACACTGTTTATTCTACTCACATGTCAGCATTTTGTACACAAACCATCGCTATGGCGAACCTCTGTAACTCACCCCCAGACAAAGTCTCTATGTCTCTGTCCAGTAGATTCATCAGATCTGATTGGTGCAATGGAAGAGAGAATCGGGATTACTGGATCGTCATAATTGTTGTCAAGTTTTATTACAATTCATCAGACGGTTGGCAGCAGTTTCACGCATCGGTTTTAACGAAGTGGCGTTAAGGCAAGGTTAAACAAAACTAACACTTGTTTAAGGCAATGTTAAACACAACTAAAACTTATTTAACGCAGTGTTAAACACAACTAAACCTTATTTAAGGAAATGTTGAACCCTAGCTGACCCCAAGCTCGGAACCGCATTTAGGTTGTGGCTAAATAAAAATATTCACTTTGACCTTGTTTACAACTAAATAAAATCTATAGCCTGTACACTATAATTCTGCAGAAAAATCTAGACAAATCAGGAAAGGAAAACCATGTGTAAGCCTTTTCTAGAAATATAAGTAGAGCTGACTATAAAAGGAAGAGCGATAGAGAGA